AAATTCAAAATACTTGGTTCAAAAGTTATAGGGAAAGAGCAGGTATTTGGGTTGAATATACTTCTTTACTTCCAATATTTTATTGTGATAAAATGTACATAATATAAAATGTAGCATTTTTAAGTGTACAGTTCAATGGTATTAAATATATTCCTAATGTGTGACCATCACCACCATCCATATCCATCACATTTTTCATATTTTCAAACAGAATCTCTATGTCCATTAAACAGTAACTCCCAGTCCTTCCTCCCCTAGTCCCTGGCAAACACCTCTCTATTTTCTGTCGCCATGGCTTTGATTGCTCTAAGTATCTAATGTATGAGGAATCCTACAGTATTTATTTTTTTGTGATTGGCATATTTCACTTAGCATTATGTCCTTGAGTTTCATCCATGTTGTGGCATATGTCAGAATTCCCTTCCTTTTTAAGGCTGCATAATATTCCATTTATGTATGCACTACGTTTTTCTTATCTCCTCATCCATGTATGAACACTTGGGGTGCTTTCATACTTCAGCTATTATAAATAATGTTGCTATCAACATGTGTATACAAATATACAGAAGTGGATGTGGTCTATTACTTGACAGTTCTGTTTTCAGTTCTTTGAGAAACCTCTTTACTGTTTTCTACACTAGCTGTAACATTTTGCATTCCCCCAAACAGTGCACAAGAGTTCCAGTGTCTCCATATCCTTACGAACACTTGTTATTTTCTGTTTTGTTTTGGTTTTTGATGGTAGCCATTCTAATGGGCGTGAAGTGGTGGGTGAATGTGCTTTCAACATTTTCTCCTTTTTATCATATTCTTTCCTGTGTATTACATAAACTACTCTACCCTGCATATTTTGTCCCCTCCCTTCTCACTCGTCCTCAGCATAAGTGTTGCCAGGGTAACATTATCTGCATCATCAGTGACAATGAAGATGTTTTGTAATATGTGTTATCCAATACAGCTTCCACTAGCCATATATTATCACTAACCATGTAAATTGTGGTTTAATGAGATTGAGACAATAAAAGCTTAATTGTATTTTTTAAATTTAATTTAAATACACATGTGACTACTGGTTACTATATCAGATAATACATATCTAGGTCCTACTTCTTTCTGAGCTCCCAACTTCTGTATCAAACTATCTCCTTGACATATCTGCCCTATATCATCCAAAAGTCCACATGATCAATGTCAAAATTATTATCACTTTCTCCAAACCAGCTCCTAACTTGGTTAATTAAATAACATCAAACTTGCTCAAGATAGAACTATTGAAGTTATTTTTTACTCTTCAGTCTGCTTTATGTCCCTTACCCAGTAAATCACATATTCTGTCATTCAGTCTTAAAATTATCTCTCAAATCTGCCTTCTGTTTCCCAAAACACACAGCATCATTTTTCACAAACTACCACCAGAAATCTACTAAATCTTTAAAGAAGTCTCCAAGAACGCTCATTGACATTAAAATCAGTTGAAATTGCATAAATTTTTCAAATGTTACCTTTCTGGTAAATTCTTCAAATCTCCTAGTCAGATGCAAAAGCTCCATCTTCCTTCCTCCCACACTTTGTCCACATTACTATCACATTTTTGTTATGTTATAGTGAAATGGTTTGCTCACCTGTTCACTGGCTTGGACTTACTCCTGTGTATTAATTGTTTTTATATTTCAAGTGTTTTTGCTTTATCCTTGGCTTATTGTGGGCTATCAGAATGCTTAGATAACTAATAACAATTTATTATCTAAGTGCTGACGATTTAAAAACATAGCTAGAAAATTCCTAGGTGTAGAAGGAGATATAAGCTTATTTCAAAACGTAAATCCATGGTGATTTTTACTCACTTATTAAAGGATTAAGCATCTAAGATTTATATTGGTATTTTATTCTTGTTTAACCTTTAGAGGAATTAGTTTGGCTTTTATGATAATTAAAAAAACAAATGCTATTTTTAAGGTAATTATAGAGGATAAGGAAACACCGTCGACGCTGCCGCTGCATGTGTCGCCCTCTGGCAGCTTTGTACAGCGCCATCTGACTGTCATTGAAGCCATGATAAATTATACCTTGGGAATCAATATCGAGTCTCATTCATTACTTTCTTTGGTTCCATGCTTTATATCAAAAAGACAAATGCCAAGATAAATTTAAACTCTGTAAAAAAATATTTTTTAAAAAAACTACAGGACATTGGAAAACTACTTTCAAGGACAAGGACTCACTGCTCATACTCCACATATGAGTATGGTTGTTTTTTTACTCAGAAAGGCACCAATTATGAATTATTACTTCTTCTTCAATACTTAGAAATCATCATTTAATTTGGCATAAATAATATTTGTGATCTATAACAAAAGGTCTAGAATGTAAATTACATGGAAAAGATAATGGATTGCTTTACATGAATAACTATTTATATTAGATGTGTATATATAGATTTTATTTAATTAGATAACAAAAATATGTGATAGTGCTATGGTGTTCTGTATCCAATTCTAACATCTACTGAAAGAATTAAAAATGTATTTTCAACACTCCTGGTTTATCGAAATGTTTTTGTATTGGTATAATACCAACAATATTTGTGCTTTATCATTTTACAAAGTGTCTGCCACACTTCATATTACTTAAAAATAATGGACAGTGGCAGAATTTATACTTAGGTTGGACTTGTTATTCAAAGTCCAGTGTTATTTCCATAATATCTCAGTAGTAGGTGGCACAGGAGTGTACTAAACTCATGATGGACTATGATAATACTGTCATTTTCCTTATTGAAACAAACATTCTAAAGGCCTTAACTCTTCACAAATTAAATTTTATGCTCCATTTGTACACATTAATTTATCGGTGTATTCTCGGCATTTAATTAATTAGCTTGGTTATATGATTTCATGTCTAAATTATACTGTTATTCTTTTCTTGTCTCTAAAATAAAAACAAAATTCTGACACAACAGGTAAGGGCTTAATTTGAAGACTTTAGAACTAGCATTTTTTGGAAGTAAGTTTTAGGTTTTTTCTCTATTTTCATATTTTATTAAATTTATTGGTGTGGCATTGATTAAGATTATATAGGTTTCAAATGCACATTTTAATGATATATTATCTGATAGAACTAGCTTTTTAAATGTGTTAATAATTATTCTCAATTGCATGCATATTATATTTCTAGAGTAAATCTATGCATCTTCCTTTCAACATCACAGAATCCTAGTAAGGAATGCACTTATGACTATACTCATTTTTTGATGTAGAAAACAAAATAAATTTCTACATATAATATAGCAAGTTAGTAATCAAGATAGAACTGAAATCCATGCTTCTTATTTTCTGATATATGTTCAATATAGCCACTCTATGTTTACACTTTTATTCTGTTCTTGATCAAAGAAAATTTGACTTTACAATGAAGTAGCTACTAAATATTTTTTTGTGGTTCTACACATTCTGCTACTGGTGAAATAAGATCAAACTTCTGAAGCACAGTATTTTCCCTCGGCCTTTGTCTGCTACATGAGTGGTTTCCAAAGGTAAACATGATGACTGGGGAAACAGAATCAACTTTGGAAAATTAAAAGTGCTCATAAAAAAATAAATGTCCCTGAACTCTTGCTTTTGCACCAACATAGGTTTTATTTTTTCATAGAAATATAATTATTCCAAGATCCACTTAATGGATTTATATACTATATATAAATTTTATATGTACATATATATGGTAAGATACCATTTCCATTACAGACACACATCTAAATATACATAGCTATATGTATTCATTTTATCTATCTGTCTCCCTATTCACCTACCTACCTTTCTAATTATTATTTTTCTATGTATCAGGTATGCAACTAAAATTTGGACTACTAAAATTTTAATATTTTGGAACCACTTCTATCTTGCTATAATCCAAATAATAATGAACAATCAAAAGATGGAAACGTTAAAAACTAAATCAAGAAACTGGAATAGATTGAAAAGTAAAGTATTATAAATGTAATGAAGAAGGAGATAGTTTGAGCTTAGGAGAATATCAAGTAAAATGTGATCCAAACACCTCTTACTACAAAAGTTAAGAAATATTAATTTACACAGCTTTAAATGTTCGAAGTAAGCCTCGGACTCTAGCCTTTGTATTTTGAGCTCATTCTGTTGCCACTCTTTGAGTTCAGCTCACTATATCCATTATATCACATTTCCTCTTTCTAAACAAAGAAACAGCCTTTTAAAATTTCACCAAAATATTTAAGAATGAATCATCAAACTTTCAATTAAGTGTATATAAATATGGATTATTTTAAATGCTCTGAAATACCAATATTCTCTACAAATTTTATCCCCAAAGATAGGTTATGACAGGCTAAAAATATAGCCAGCAAATAAAGGGTAAAAGATATAGTTGATAAATGTAAAAATTCATAAGATGCCAGACATTAAATTTCTTTGATTCATACTGTAGAATTTAATTCTCCATACTATAAACTTTCTCCATACTGTAAACTATTCTACGGTAAAAAATTGGTATGATGACTTGAGAGTGATAAAATTTATTGTAAACACAGTTCAACTTTATTATTAAAGAAAGAAGCCTTTTCTACTGCAAATAAGAAGTACCTCAAACAACTAAGTACCTTAAATATTGAAACAAAATAGAAGATACAGTAACTCAAAGATGCACTTTGAATTTTTCTTAATATAAAATTCAGGGATATGCTTGAGGATATACCACAAATCTACTTTCAGATTAAGAAGAAAGCTAATTATTATTTTCAACATTGATTTTAAATACAAATCTTTACTCATTGGTCTAAATGATCTTGATTGAGTTGCTTATCACCTTTATTCCTTAATAAAAGAGAAGACACTTAATGTCCTTTCTAGTACATACTGCCAATAACAAATATGTAGCTTTATCTTGAATGGTTATTTTCTTTTCCTCCATCTATCAACAAAAAAGAACAAAACTTTTCCAACCTGCTCATGAATGCATTCCTTGCCTACCTTGGTAATGGTTTCATGAAGTTTAAAAAGAGGATCCATTTCTTCAATTTTCTTTGCACTTTTAGGGAAAAGAGCCTCTGAGAGAAAACTTGGATCCTGTGGAAAGCAGAAAAAAACATTTGAAACTCTTCATTGATTTTGTTTTTCAAGTGCTTATTGGATTTTCTTTAAAGATTCAAAAGGACTCTAAATTGCTTTAAGGTTTCTGTTGATTGTTGGACTTCATTCTACTAATCGAATCAACCAATCACAGAATATTTTTAAATTAAAATGAGTAGAAATCTATAAATTTTGACCTTATTTGTATCTGTAAAAGAATGTTCTTTATTTACTCAAAAGAGATAATTCTGTGCAGTTCTTTTCCTCTTTAAAAATGCAGACATATATAGAATAAGATATCTTGACTATAAAACCCATATCTGAAACCCCTTTTCTATTTAATATATTAAATTCTGTTTTAAGTCTGGTAAAATGCAGTGCTTTAAATTAACCTGATTACCAACAAAAAAATTCTAGGCAAAAGTGTGTATGATACTTAAACAGTGCCAAACTCACTTTAAAAGAACAATAAGATATATTTTGCGTAGAAGAGGCTTTACATGTTATCAATAAAGTGGTAGAACGTTATATCAGAACCTTACTGTTAGATGGTTGAAACGAATCAAAGAAGTAGTAATTAGTCATTTTGTACTCGCAGGGTTGGACAAATTTCAGGATAAAAGGAGATTCAGGATACTGATTCTGCTACTATCTACCATAGTACGGATATTTATGTCCCCCCCCAAATCCATACATTGCAGTTCTAATTTCCAAAGTAATGATATTAGAAAATGGACGCTTTTGGGAGCTGATTAGGACAGGAGGATTTCATCCTCATTGTTTGGATCAGCGCCTTTTTGAAAGAGGCCCCGCAGAGCTCCCCAGCCCTTTCCTCCTTGAAAGGCTGTAACAGGAAATCTGCAGCCCAGCGCAGGGCCTCGCCTGGCCAGGCTGGCACCGTGGTCACAAACTTCCAGTCTCTAGAACTGGGAGAAATAAATTTATGTTGTTGAAAAGCCACTCAGTCTCTAATATTTTATTAGAGCAGGCCAAATAGATTAAGACACTGCCTAAAACAATGCTTTTACAATCAACGGTATTAGCATTCCATGAAATCACTATTATTTACCACATAAATATAGCTTTTACTCAAAAACCTGAAATAACTAGGATTATTTCTTTATAAATTAAAGAACTTGGAACAGGATACACACACACACACACTCACACACACACACACACACAACGTGTGTATGTATATGACTGATCGTAGATAGGTAGATAGATGATAGATAGACAGATAGATGGTCTTTCTGAGGGCTGACATGGAAAAGAAATATTCAATCCAGTCTGCACCAACAGTGACCACAACGGTATAACAAATTAAGCTGAATTTTGTTTCAGCTGTTTATTAGAACAATCTGACACCAGAACAGACTACTTTGGGGCATATCAATGGTGGAAAAGAAAATTAGGGTGATGTAATCGATAAGCTCTGAAGTCATACAGGGGAAAACTGAAACCAAAGTAATTGTAATTCCCTATATAGGAAACAATTATGTGATCAGGTATACTTTTCACCTGTATTTTGAGAAATATGGATATCAAACAAAAGTAATATAGCTGTTTGTTTCAGCATGTATGCACTTTTGGATGATAAGACCATAAATCAACCAAACAGCTTACCTGTCAAAAAACAGCTTATTTATCAAAATTTGTTTTATGTTTTCTCTCTTGATTTTGCCTGGTAATCAAAACTAATTTTTCAACTAGTTCCAGTTCCAACTAGTACTTCACTTTTAAGATTTACCATAAAAGCTAGGCACGAAGCTTGGAAGAGATTCCCTGTCATAACCTTCAAAAGGAACTAATCCTGATACTTTTGAATAGTTAAAACAATAAATTTCTATTGCAAGAGTCACTCAATCTATAGTGCTTTTTTATCACAACCTTAATAAACTAATACGCTCAGTACAGGAGGTATTCTTTCTTAGTGTCATAGGTGTAATGCATTTAATTTTGTCTAGCAACAGGGTTTTGGCAAGTATTTTTGTCAATCAACATAAAAATAGGTTCAATTTTTGGTTTTTCCACTTCATTGTCATCTTAATCTCCAAAGGATTAGTTACTGAATTTAAGGGATTTTAATAAAAATATATATTTCACAAAGATATTGTTTATTGTCCAGTGCCTGCCACAAAGGAGACATTTTGTTAATAGCATTGATGATGTTTCTAAAAACAATAAATATCATAACGGTGATGGTGAGGGTTGATAGGGTAATGATTAGCTGAAGTAAAGTAAATCCAAAACTTTATAATCTTATGGAAAACAGCACACAATTGCACATAGATATGTTTATTTCACCAAATAGAGATATCTTTGAACTGACCTTAGTGTAAGTATGAATGGATAATTTGTGGCATTCATTTCTATTTAATTAAGTTTGAAGTTCTTAAAAAGTCGACTTCACAATTAGTTTTAAATAAACTTCTTGAAATAATTTCATCTAATTAGTTTACCTAGCAACACAAAACTCCCCAAATAGTGCAAAGGTAAAAAATCAACCAGCCTCAAATTAAATAATCCCGTAAAATATAAATTAGAAGTTATAATTAATGAGGTTTTTATTGAACTTTCAATTATTCAGTAGAGAACAATATTAAATTATCCATATGTGCCTTATTCTGCAATATGATCCCCATCTTTCTTTTATTTCTTCAGCTCTCTCTTGCCATACCATTCTTTGTTTTCAGTGCCTGGCTTTATTTAACCATTTAAAAAATATTCATTTTACATTTACCACATGCTAGGGGCTGCATTGATTGAAACATTGTCCTTAATCTTACAGAGTTTAATCTAATGGAGTTTGGACACATAATAGATCAAACATTATTGTCTCATATGCACTTAAATAGAAAAATAATTATTTATAGAGATATTTATATGTTTGACTTTAAAATAATTAAAATTATTTTAACAATAAGTGTGTATGCTTTTAAAAATGTTTCTACTGTTATTGCATTAACTCTGAGTGATGGTTGTTTAATAATAGCCCCCATCTATAGATGAAGAGAAGGAAGTAAAAGTACTTTTGTTTAGAACAATTCATTGATACATTGAACCAGGCATTCTTGAGTAATGTAATATATTGAAAACTTACTACTGTATGCCTGCCAGTTGAAGATAACGGTAAGAATATTATAAAAGAAGAAATATTGAGGGGAAAAGTCTTTTCAGGACTTTATTTGTCTCCCTAGTCCTTAATTTATATGTTGTTTCTATAGTATTTAGCAATATTTGGCACACCTTCCTTTTCCCAACCCCTTTACCTAAAGTCTATTATTTGACTCTCCTCGTTTTCCATTTGTATATTATTTTCTACATGTAAATGGATTTCTTTCTCTTTATAAAGTTTATCATTGTTTCAAGGTAGTCTACCCTTAGTCTTCTTTTCACAGGTTCTCTAGGTGTCGTTATATACTTCTTTGGATTTAACTACTAACTTCACGTTTGATTGTTCCCAATTCTTTATTTCTAGACTTGACCCTGCTTTTAATTTATAATTTCTGTTTGTCTACAGATCTTTCAAGATATCAGCTTACATTCCATGTCTTAATCATGCATTCTCCCATTGACATACTCGTTTCTTAATTTAGATGATAGCATAATACCTATATTTTGCCCAAATACGAAATTTTATGCCACCCTTGACTCCAATTTCTCTCACCCTGTGTGCCAAACAACTGCACTAGCCAATTGCCATGTAATCTATATGTTTACACAATTTTATGCAATTTTTTATCTATTACTATCATCCAATTAATTATTACTTTTACTCAAACTGTGTTCCCTATGGTCTATAGACAAGTCCAAACTCATTACTTTGGTATTTCTCATGTAAGTCCCAATTTATCTTTTGTCTTTCACCTGTAAACAGTTCTTTCATTCCCATGACGTAATTTGAGCAACTTCCATATATTGTTTACTTATGTCACAGCAGGCTATTCACCAACCTTGAATCCACCCTCACTTCAACTAAATCTGTTCCTTTATTTTTTTCCATTTCTTCTGTCCAGATTGTTCTTGCATCTGTTTACCAGCTTTATTTATATAATTTCTTTTCTTGATTCTCACCAACTCATTAGAGTTTAGTGTTCTCATGCCAGTTTCTTTGTCACTTTATATTTACTTGTAGTCATCATTTATTGCATTTTTGTTGTATTTCTGTTTTCTTTACTGTACTATGAGCTTTTTGAAACTCAGTATCTTTTTCTTATTAAAACTCTTATATCATCAGACAACCTTAAGTTATTATTCTTTCGGTGCTGTATTATCATCCAAAATTGAAATGTGAATATGCATGTCCTTTTCATTTCAGAGGGTTCATGTCAGGATCAAGCAAAGAAACAAAACGTATAAAAGTGCTCAGCAAGGAGGAAAGGACTACAATAACACTGGATGGTGTTTGATTTTTATCACACTTGTCAGGAATTGCTTTTCTATATAACCAAGAATTATAGTTTTAAAATTTAAATATGTGCTTGTATATTGAACTCTATATGATATTTCTTTTATAATCTGCAACTGTTAAAACAAAGTATAGAAATGGTTGCTGTAGGTGACAGGAAGTCCTTGGGGGTTGCGGAATGGAGCAAGTGATATTTTCATCTATGTATTGAGGACAGCACACACTGACACATTTGTGGGGATAGATTTTTTTAAAAAGACATGACTGAAAACAGGGAATTTAGACAGAAGGCTACTGCACTATTACAGTGAGAAAAAGTGAGATTAAACCAGTACTGTGGTAATAGAAATAGACAGGAGGAGAGGAATTTGATATATATTTAAAAGATAACATTAGTAGTATTGAATACTTGGTGATTAATTGGATGTGAAAGTCTTTTTTCTTTAAATTTTATATTTATTTATTTTTAGAGAGAGGGGAAGGAAGGAAGAGAGAGAAGGAGAGGAACATCGATGTGAGGGGGAAACATCAATTGGTTGCCTCCAGCACAACTGGTAACCTGGCCTATAACCCAGGCATGTGCCCT